CCTGCATCTAGTCTGTCCAGTTCAAATTTTATTTAATTTTAGTTACAAATCAGATCACCTCTCATTCTTCTAAACTCTAGTGAATATAGACCCGGTTGAACAGTCCTGTCACTGCAATATTAACATAGTAAGCCTCTGACGTATGGCAAGTATATCCTTTCTTTAGATAGGAGACCAAAACTGCATGGAATATTCCAGGTGCACTCTCACCAAAGCCCTGTATAACAATCCCTGCTTCTGAACTCAATCCCTCTTGCAATGAAGGCCCATATAGATCATAGAATCATAGAATCCCCACAGTGTGAAAACAGGCCCTTCGGCCCAACAAGTCCACACCGACCCTCAGAGCATTCCACCTAACTTACACATCTCTGATCACATCGGGCAATTTCCCATGGCCAATCCACCTAACCTGCACATCTTTGGACTGTGGGCGGAAACTGAAGCACCTGGAGGAAACCCACGCAGACATGGGGAGCATGTGCAAACTCCACACAGACAGTCGCCCGAGGGTGGGATTGAACCCGGGTCCCTGGCACTGTGAGGCAGCAGTGCTAACCACTGAGCCACCGTGCCACCCCAGTGGAAGATTTTCCAACAATTGGAAATGGATTCATGGTCATTGTTAGATTCCTAATTCAAGATTTTTATTGAACTCAAATTCCACCATCTGCTGTGGCAGGATTTGAACCCAGGTCCACAGAATGTTACCTGGGTCTCTGGATTAACAGTCCAGTGATAATGCCACTAGGCCATCTCCTCCCCTATACCATTTGCCTTCCTAAATTCTGGCTGCTCTTGCCTGTCTACTTTCATTGACTGCTGTACAAGGACACCCCGATCCTTGAACACATCCACATTTCCCCAATAATCACTAAGTAATATTCTTTCTTTTCACACTAAAGTGTATGACTTCACATTTAGCCACGCTTGGTCCATTCACACAACTTGTCTAAATCATTTGAAGCCTTTTTGTACCATCCTTGGTCTTCAGCAAACTTGGAAATATTGCATTTAGCTTCCTCATCCAGGTCATTTATGTAGCTAGGGCCCAAGCACTGAACCTTGTGGTATGCCACAAGTCAATGCCTGCCATCTGGAAAAATACCTTTATTCCCACACTTTTCTTGTCAGTCAACCAATTCGCAATCCATGCCAATATGTAGTATTCCCTATCCCATGCATTTTATTTTTATCCACTAATCTCTTTTGTGGAATCTTATCAAAAATATCACATCCACTGGTTGTCCCTTATCTATTCCACCAGCTACATCCTCAAACGGCTCCAGTAGATCAGTTAAGCATGAGTTACCTTTTATAAATTCAGGCTGGGTTTGTCCAGTCTCAATGCTTTCCAGTCTTTTTTAATACTCTTGCATTTTCCCTACTATTGATGTTAGATTAACTTATCTATTATCTTTCCCATCCTTTTTAAATAGTTGTGTTACATTTACCACCACCCAACCTGTAGGAACTGCTCTAGAATCAATAGAATTTTGGAAGCTGACCACCAATGCATCCAATATTACCAGGACCACATCTTTTAGTGTTTTGGAATGCAAGTTAACAGGCCCTGGTGATCGGTCAGCCTTTAACCCCACTAAAATCTCCCTAGCACTATTCCTTTCACATTGCACAGTAATTAGTTTGTTTTCTGGTTGGTTCCTCAACATATTGGGTTTTTTTAAGACCAATCATGTGCACACTTAGGAAATCCTCCTCCACAATACCATTGTTCTTTTGGCTTGTCAAAATGGTGAGCAAATTAAAATCTGCTGTGATTACGGTTGTACCCACATTGCATGCATCGGATTTCTTGCATAAAATGTCTTCACTTACGTCTCCAATACTGTTTGTGGGCCCATAGACAACCCCCAACATTTTCTGCCCCTTGGTGCTTCTTATTTCCATCCATGCAAACTTAACGTCATGACCTACTGAGCCAATATCCTTCCCCACAATGAATTGATTTCCTTCTTTACTAACCATTCTAAACTACCTCCAGTCCCTTTTTCCATTTGTCCTTCCTAAATAATGAATACTCCTGGAACTATCGTTCCTATCCTCAGTCACCTTGCAGCCATGTTTCTGTAATTGCAACCATTTCATAACCGTTTATATCTATTTGTGTTAATTCATTTATTTTATTGCAATTATTCCACACATTAAGCCACAAAGCCTTTAGAATTTGCCTTTTTAATCTCGTTAGCCATCATAGCTTTCCAATGTTTCTTCTGCCTTCTATTTTTACTTCTTACTTTTCTATGTTTTGTTTCCAACTTTGTTTCTCCCCTCTTTGGTTCCCATCCCTGTCATTTTATTTTAAAGCTTTCCAACAGCACAAGAACTATCACACCTTGCCCCACCCCCAAATAGTTCAAGGTAACTTACCCCTCCCTGCAGTGTTACACTGAGCTGGATACGGAATGCAAATACTGAGTTGAAATTCAAAATACAGGCATTTATGGCAAACAGACTTACAGCCAAATCACATAATTGTCCAGAAATTACAAAGCATCACCTCCCCTATCAGCTTTGTGTTAATTTATTATTCAATGCCATTCTCCCAAAACTGTTGGTCCGATGCCTCTGTCACACTGCTTCATACTAATTTGTTCCTCTCCTCCGCGCTGCTTTACATTACTTGAATGTAGATGGTGCCAGTCCATGGGCTGCTTTCTCCTGGATGGTATCGAGCTCGGAGTATTGTTGATGTGATATTCATTTAGGCAAATGTGTTTGTTCACGTTCCTGACTTTTGCCTTACAAACATCTTACAAGGCTTTGGAAAGTTAGGTGGACAGGTAGTTTCCACAGATTTGTCAGCCTCTGATCTGTCCTTGTAGCCGTATTATTTATATAGCTAACCCAGCTCAGTAACCAGTCAATGATGATCCCCAGAATGTTGACTCGGGGCATTCGGTAATGGCAATGGTGCTGAACATTAAGGGGTGATTGTTGGCTTCTGCTTTTATTGGAGAGGGCCTTTACTTGGATTTACTTCCCACTTATCAAAGTACATGAACGCCAACTGGCTACAAAAAGACACGACCAATACTCACTCATCTCAATCCACATGGACAAGGGGAACCATGACTTCGACTGGGACAACACCAAGATCCTGGGACAGGCTAGGCAGAGACAAGCATGGCACTCCACGCAGCATGCTATTAATAAACACATTGAACTCGACCCCGTATACATTCCACTAAGGAGGAAACCCGGAAGTGAGGCAATCCATCGCAACGGACCCCAGAGTTTAAAAACCAGGCGGGAAACACACCGACGCTTCATCAGAGGCTGCACTGAGGATGTTACCAAGCACGGTAACGAAACGTCTACGGAACAACCAGCTCGGCGAGCCAACCAACCTCAACACCCACAACCCGAGCTACAGATCTACTCCAAAACTTATCAAACTAACCATGTTTTCTATGGATGCATGCAGACCCAGACTATTTCAAAAGCTGAGGAATTGCAAATAGTGCTGAACTTTGTGCAGTCAAACTTCCTGATGTCTGACCTTATGATGGAGAAAAGATCATTGATGAAGTAAGTAAGTGCTTGTATCTGGGACACTAACCTGAGGAACCCCTGCAGTGATATACTGGGGCTGAGATGCTTGGCCTTCAACAACCACAACAATTTTTCTTTGAGCTAGTTATGGCTAAGAAAAAAAATAAAGTGAAGAGCTATCCTCACTTCTCCCTTCCCAAACTCCAATGATTTCAGTTTTACTAAAGTTCCTTGGTACCACACTTGGTCAAATGCTATCTTGACATCAAGGACAGTTATTCCCATCACAACTGAAACATTCATGGTCACTAGATAGAATGTCTATCTTACCTGTTAACTGAAGGATTTGCCCCCAAAGTAAGTAAACTCTGATGCATTTTAGATCTAGAACATCAACTTTCTTCCTTTCCAGAGAAAATTCCTCTGCTGAACTAAAATTCTGGAATCATTGGTTAATAGTAACTTCCTTTTGTTTTATACACAGGATCAACATTTGTTGAATTTTCTAACATATATCTTAAATAAAGTTGTTCTGTTTTATGTAATCTTGTAACACAGCAATTCTCCATGAGTTGCATAAATACTGTTGTGTCATTCATTTCTCAAAGTGAGGTGCAAGTAGAATCTGTAGGACTGAGCACATGAATCATCTGGTACTCATCTCTTCTCCCTCCCAAAACAATTAAACAATATTTACTGAGGCAGGTAGTAGGATCCTGTTCTAAATAATTCTTTTGGACAGTAAATAAATGATTTAACACTGGTCATGTTATTCACGGAGGTTAAAAGTTCAAATGTTATACATACCATTTGAAAATGATGTAATGAACAAGAATATTTAGAGGAACTTTTAATTAAAAAATGTAGATATGTTCAAATAGGGAAAGTCACTGAAACAAAGTGTCCAATGGCTTCAAAAGTCACAAAGGTGCTTTTGGGCGAGAATGCATACATGGAATTGAGATCAATGCAAATGGAATCGTTTTAGAGTGGGGATAATCGTTTTTGGAATGATTTTATTCCTTTTAAAATTAGGGGAAAATCAAATGATTAATCCTGGTGAATTCACTTAAGATGAATGTAATACTTCATGTATGAAAATTAATGCACGTTGATGAAATAGTTAGTACATCACTATTTATATTTGGCATTTATACAGGTCCTCAAAATAAAGATATGCAGTAATTTCTTATTGGTTGGCCTAAAAAGATTTCCGAAACATCTGTATCTCAAACTCCAACCACAATATGCAACTTGCAGGAATCACAACTGCAGCCAAAAGATCAAATTGCAAGCAATCAGCACACTGATTTAAAAAAAAATATTTTAAACCCCTAGATGGCTTACTCAAAAAAGGAGGAGGAAAATACAGTGGGAAATAAAGCTTGAACGTTGCAGACAAGAATGAGGAAAATAACTAGATTTAGCACTTACAACATACAGTCAATCAATGGTAATGAATAAATTCATAATTTAAACTCTACCTTTATATGTCTGACTTCAGAATGTAACTCATGAAGGATCTTCTTTGGAGCTTCTTCTTCATGATCTTCATGAGATGGAAATAAAAAATACATTTAGACTTCTTCGGATTTATTGGGAAAATTCAAAGCTAAAGTTATAAATCAATGCACCAAATTAGGAAACAATATATTAAAATCAGCACAAGACAAGGTATACATACAGAATACTGTTAGGTAACAGCTGAAATTTTAGCCAGAGAGGAAGCTTTATGCAAAATATTTCCTTTAACTGGCAGTTCCAAAACATTTTACAAAGCACAATTAAGTTGCAAGTGGCCACATGGATACAACTTTTAAGGATTGCATCATTTTAGTAGAATTGATTATTTTCCCATTACAACAGTACTTTAACTATTAATTTGCCACCTTACCAGATTTGTTATTCAAAGCATGATCTAGGTATTTGGTTTCGTTCTCCAAATTTATTGCGAGGGTCCTCAACTTGGTGAAGAAATTATGTATTGGATCCATTGAGAATAAACTATTTAAAAAAAAAAGTGAAAAATGCTTAAACACCTACAAATTCCTCAACTGTGAAAGCTGCTGTCACGTCATACATTTTTATGCTGCGCTGATTAATAAATCAAAAGATTAGGACCTTTAACAGACTACTATGAAGTAGCTTTTAGGAAAGCAATTAAACATTTAATCGTTTATAATGCCACCTTGCCTTAGTTTACAGAAGTATGTTACCCATCTAGAGGTTCACAGATCATTATCCATGTGACTCGCCATCCTTTTACAGACATGATTCATTACAGTTGGGCATTTATCTACCAATGCAACCATGTGTTCATCTTCCACCAGTCTAGGTTTATGCTGGCACTTCCTTTACTCTCCACACTGCACCATACTTCCAATTCCATTGGTTTTTCCTTCCAACTATAAATGCCTTTCCTCCTAACCATTTTATGCTCTTGCCTTCTGCTGCTTTTATTCCACCCTTCTGGCCACCTATTTCCTAGTTTCTTTAGCACCATTCGTACACAAGTACTGTTGTTAATAAAGTAATCATTTTTTATATCACAAGGTAGCCAAATATTTGAAATGTTAACTAGCATTGGCATGGAAGGGAAAAGGGCCCCAGTCAGAACTGATTTTGTCAACAACGCTCTTAACCAATTGGGCACCAAAACAATGATCAACATGATCGTATATCCAGTCAGTTCCAAATTGTAGATGTAAACAGATTTCCTGTTAGGTGTATCAATACTGGTCACTCCCATAAGTCTATTGAAGGTTTCTGCACATACAGTTCTCCAATCTTTCAGAAGACAGAAACAGTTGGCCTGACAGTCAGACATAATGGTTGTTGAATAAAAACAGTCAAAGCATTCCAACTTGCAACACTGAAATTCATTTTCCCATCAAAACTTGTGATAGAGCATTCACTTCATTATGTTTTTAAAAGTTTTACTGTTTGTGTTTCAACTCCCATCATGACCTTTTCACCCATATTCACGGAGTCAAGTGAGATGTCAATTTTAAGATTTGCATTCTCGTTTACAAATTCTTCCAAGCCTTGCTCCTTTCTTTTACTCTCCTTCAGACCTACAACCAACGTTCCCTCTAAGGTGTGCGGCCATGCTCAAGGCTCCAAACATGACAGGTGCGCCAACACATTGGCTTCTGCTTTTGGAAGCTGCTGTCGCATTCAGACCTCAGATATGTACAGCAGAAAAAAAGAATTGGTGATGATGGTGTGAAATAAAAAGGCAATTATTACACTTCCTGTGATTGAGTGAAAAGGAATCCCTGGGAGGGTAATAACGTGTCGAGGGTAACAGAGGAGCGAACAAAGGCACCAGAGAGAAGACGCCATTAAAAATACTGATGGAGACTAGGGGGAGAAATGTAATTTGTTCTAGTGTTATGCTGGAGATGGTAGAAATGGCACACAACAATCCTTTGACTAGAGTAGCCAATGGGGTCGAGAGCGAGGGAAGAGAACCCTATAATGGTTCTGAGAGGTATGGGAAGTGAGTTTGACTTCGTCGAGGGCTCTATCCACCACAGTGGGCAATTGCTTGGTTGAGGAGAAAGGAAGACACATCATAAGCACCATCACGGAAAGTGTATCATCAGAACAGTTGAAACAGATGCAGAAATGGCGAGAATACCATGCAGAATACACATGAGTACATGTAAATGAAGTAGCTGTGAGAATCAGTGGGTTTGTAATGAATATTACTAAACATCCTATCCGCATAAATGGAAACAAGAAATGCAGGAATGGGTGGGGTGGGTCAAATCAGATGGAATTGGAGAAGGTAAGAAAAGGGTGGAAATGATTGCAAAAGAAAACGTGAATAATTTTTCCAACGTGATCAGGAAAAGGCACCATTACAGAAAACCAGAAAAAAAGAATGCTATTATGGGGGCTTTTACCACCAATACCCAATAGTATCTGTGTGGCATGTACCAAATGTACTGCAGCAACTCACCAAGCCTCCTTTGACAGCACCTTCCCAAAAGCACAACCTTTAGGCAACAGGCACAGGGAATGGATGGGAACCATCACCTATTGGCTTTCCCCCCCTTCAAGTCATAGTACCCTGAATTAGAACTATAATCACTTCCTTCACAGTCACTGGGTTAATATCCTGACAATTCCTTTCCTATAGAGATGGAGAGTGTGAAGATAAAATCCAATACAAGGGTCCTGTGCTTGAACAAGGGGAACTACAATAGAATGAGGGAGGACTTGGCTAAAGTAAACTGGATACAAAGATTTTATGGTGGGACAGTTGACGAGCAGTGGAGGACTTTCAAAGCAATCTTTCCAAGTGCTCAGCAAAAGTATATTCCAATGAAAAGGAAGGATTGTAAGAAAAGGGGTAATCTGCCATGGGTGTCTAAAGAAATAAGGGAGGCTATCAAATTGAAAGAGAAGGCATACAAAGTGGCCAAAAACAGCATGAAACTAGAAGATTGGGAAAACTTTAAAGGTCAACAGAAAGCCACAAAAAGAGCTATAAGGAAAAGTAAGATAGAACATGAGAAAAAACTAGCACAGAATATAAAGACAGATAGGAAAAGTTTCTATAAATATATAAAACGAAAAAGAGTGGCTAAAGTAAACGTTGGCCCTTTAGAGCATGAGAAGGGGAATTTAGTTATGGGATATGATGAAATGGCTGAGGCATTGAACAGGTATTTTGTATCGGTCTTCACAGTGGAGGACACTAATAACACGCCAGTAATAGACAAAGAGACGAAGGTAGGTGAGGACCTGGAAACAATCATAATTACGGAAGCGGTAGTGTTGGGCAAGCTAATGGAGCTAAGGATTGATAAGTCTCCTGGCCCTGATGGAATGCATCCCAGGGTACTAAAAGAGATGGCGGGAGAAATAGCAGGTGCACTGGCGGTAATTTTCCAAAATTCGCTGGACTCTGGGGCAGTCCCAGCAGATTGGAAAACAGCAAATGTGACGCCACTGTTTAAAAAGGGAAGTAGACAAAAGATGGGGAATTATAGACCAGTTAGCTTAACCTCTGTAGTGGGGAAGATGCTCGAGTCTATTATCAAGGAAGAAATAGCAAGGCATCTTGATAGAATTTGTCCCGTTGGGCAGACGCAGCATGGGTTCATGAGGGGCGGGTCATGCTTGGCAAATCTTTTGGAATTCTACGAAGACATTACGAGCGAGGTGGACAATGGGGACCCAGTGGATGTGGTGTACCTAGACTTCCAAAAGGCCTTCGACAAGGTGCCGCACAAGAGGCTACTGCATAAGATAAGGATGCATGGCATTAAGGGTAAAGTATCAGCATGGATAGAGGATTGGTTGACTAACAGGAAGCAAAGAGTGGGGATAAATGAGTGCTATTCTAGCTGGCAGTCAGTGACTAGTGGTGTGCCTCAGGGATCAGTATTGGGACCGCAATTATTTACAATTTATATAGACGACTTGGAGCTGGGGACCACGTGTAGGGTGTCAAAGTTTGCAGATGACACTAAGATGAGTGGCAAAGCAAAGTGTGCAGAGGACTGTGAAACTTTGCAGAGGAACATAGATACATTGAGTGAGTGGGCAAAGGTCTGGCAGATGGAATACAATGTAAATAAATGTGAAGTCATACATTTTGGTAGGAGTAATAGTAAAAAGGATTATTACTTGAATGGTAAAAAGTTGCAGCACTCTGCTATGCAGAGGGACCTGGGTGTCCTTGTGCATGAATCACAGAAGGTAGGTTTGCAGGTACAACAAGTAATTAGGAAGGGAAATGGAATTTTTTGTCCTTCATTGCTAAAGGGATTGAAATAAAAAGCAGAGAGGTTATGTTGCAGCTGTACAAGGTGCTGGTGAGGCCACACCTAGAGTACTGTGTGCAGTTTTGGTCTCCTTACTTGAGAAAGGATGTACTGGCACTGGAGGGGGTACAAAGGAGGTTCACTAGGTTGATTCCGGAGTTGAGGGGGTTGGCTTATGAGGAGAGACTGAGTAGATTGGGATTATATTCATTGGAATTCAGAAGATTGAGGGGGGGGATCTTATAGAAACATATAAAATTATGAAGGGAATAGATAAGATAGAAGTAGAGAGGATGTTTCCACTGACAGGTGAAGCTAGGACAAGAGGGCATAGCCTCAAGATTAGAGGGAGCAGATTTAGGACTGAACGGAGAAGGAATTTCTTCACCCAGAGGGTTGTTAATCGATGGAATTCCTTGCCCAGTGAAGTAGTTGACGCTACTTCAGTAAACACTTTTAAAAAAAGGTAGATTTTTTTTGAACAATAAAGGAATTAAGGGATACGTTGAGAACGCGGGTAAGTGGATCTGAGTCCACGAAAGGATCAGCCATGATCTTATTGAATGGCGGAGCAGGCTCGCAGGGCCAGACAGCCTACTCCTGCTCCTAGTTCTTGTATAGCATGGTGGTGTACCTTCTCAGATCAATTGCAGTGTTGAAGGCAGTAAGGGCAATTAGACATTGCCAACAAATGTCAGCCTTATCAGTGACACCCACATTTCATGAAAGAATAGGAACCCTTCAAGCCCTAGTATTATTCTGGTAAATCTGCACACCCTTCCAAAGTCAATATTTTTTCTACAGTTTCATGTCAAAAACAGAACAGCATACCACATGGAACCTGACCAAGGCCCCGTAAAACTGTACCACAAGGTTTCTTCTGTTTTGAATCTCAACAACTCAAACCAAAAGGCCAATATTTCACTAGTCAGTTTTGACCACATTTCATACTTGTGCATTAGATGTTACTGATCGTGGAAATGGATACCTAAAATTTCTTTTCTCATCACAAAGAAAATATTTCATTTTGTCTTTATGATTTAAAATGAATGTCATTGTAATCTTAGCTTGAAATCGAGCTACCAGTTTTGTTTACTCACTCAATTTGTTTTGGTCATTTCCCATCATCCTCCAACCAAACACACACACACACACACACACACACACGTTGAAGAAGTGTCTATTCTGGCTCAGTTATTCTTATTTTTCCCTCAAAACCAGAAGATTGTGAATTTGAGGCACACTCCAGAGAGTTTAAAACAAAAGCTGTGTTTAGAATCATGTGTAATACTGAGGAATTCCTTGTAACCAGCCATCTGCAACCAGTCTCTAAAAATCCCTTAGCACTACTTCTATGGTGCCCTGGCCAATAGTTAGCAATCAACCACCATCATAACTTATCTTGTCGGTGTCACAGTCCTATTTGTGTACCTTGCTGTGCACAATTTGACTATTATACTTCCTATATTAACATTAGTAACAACTTGTTTAAAATTAACTTATTTTGCTGTAAACATTTTTGGCATTTCTAAAGGGCTGAAAGCTGCTCTATAGTTGCAAGAGATAACAGTGTGGATCTCTACAGTTGCACGTATTTCTTCCATTATTCCTCATAATTTAATGTAAACCTGTTGATTTAGGTGTATTGCTGCATTCGACCCAAATCACACACAATCAACACCCGCGCACTCAACATTAAATAATTGGTGAGTAATAACTAATAAAGCAAGTTCTGACTAAGGGCTGTTCATTTACAGAAGTTTCTGCTTTAGTTTCAGCAGTGGCTCCAATCAACAAGGTGAAACAGCCTCTGCCTAAGAAAATTAAAACTCATTACATTCAGACGCAATAACCACGGATCTTCATTCACATTCTGAAGACCTGACTCCAGGACGGGAACCAGTTGAGGACAGCTCAACGAATCCGTCCATCAACCTTTCCGTTTTGAAACATTGCCAAATATTGTACAAAGTTAGCACACTACCATAAACAACTACCGTTCACACAGAAATCAAAAGACGATATCTCATTACTCTTACCTTTTGATATCCCCAGCGATAAAGCTCACTAACGTTTAAACTCACCACCGATACAGTTGGATCCTACTACAACCTCGCGCCACTCAATTTAAAATCAGCTTCAAGAACGGAACCCACTAACCGCGCCTGCGCATACACCATCACACACAACGGTCTGTTAAGGCACATGCGCAATTACCATCTTCCTTTTCCCCAGCCCCGGCTGCTTATAGTGATTGTATGTTTATCACCTTCTCTTGGAAGTTCCACCACAATCACAAAACGGATTGTGTGAAAACGGGCCTGCTCTAAAATTATGATCTGGCTGTTCTGCTTAATTTGATTAGTTTCCGTAATATTATCTCAAGATTTAGTCCTCCAACGTCAAGTTCCAGCAAAAGGAGAATTTTCAGAATCACAGTGAGCCCCAAAATAATTGTGAGACTTGCACTGATGTTAAAAAAAATTAGAGAAGCAGGTCTGATAGCAACTATGGAAAGAGACTTGACACTCATTAATTTTGTTTCACTTCAACTCCACCTGTTTGCACTATCCCCGTGTCCTTTTACCAGTTACCAGATAAAAACCAAAAGAACTGCGGATGCTGTAAATTAGGAACAAAAACAGAAGTTGCTGGAAAAGCGCAGTAAGTCTGGCAGCAATAGTGAGGAAAAATCAGAGTTAAAGTTTTGGGCCCGGTGAGCTTTTCCAGCAACTTCTGTTTTTGTTCCTTCAATTACCAGATGTTCACTAAGCTTGCAGAGATAGGGAATTCCAAAGATTCACAACATTTTGAGTGAAGAAATGTCGTCTTATCTCACTCCTAAGTAGTTGATTCTGACTTCATTTTCTCGATCCCCGAGCTGAGGAAAACATTTTTCTCAGCATCCACTATGTCAAGTCCCTTACACGTTTTGTTATGGACGGGGGAGCGATAATTTGAATTGTATTTCTCCCCTTCTCTCAGTACAGAGAGTAAATTATTTTACAAAAGGCTGAGAGTAGGGTCCTCCAAAATTCTCTGTCTGTGAATCCGATTGAAAAATGACCCACAACAAAATATTTAGGATTAAAACAGAACATTCAGACTTGGGATGGAGATAGTTAATTGTTGCAATATGCGCGCACGCAAAGGATATGAGGAAGGGGAGAAAAAGGAAAGTTTACAAGTAATATCTTTTTAAAGAATTCAAAGATATGGACATTAATTAATATTATTTTTGTCTAAGTCCAGAAAGTTAGTGTCCAGTCCTTTTGATAGAAGTTCCCATTCAAGTGTGTGTAGTTGGCTAAAGTTGCAGAATTCCTTTTAAAGACCCAGCAATGTTAGGTTGGTGTATAGCTATTGTTCATTTTTCAGGTAAATACAAATTTTCTTCCAGAACTAAATTTTAAAGGACATCTAACCTGTTTAAGCATAGCTAAGACTGGTGTCTGGTTGTGATGTCCCAGTTAAGTTCTTATCTGACACTGAAAAAACTTTAATTATACATATCTAAACTCTCACCACAGTCCGGTGAAAACCTAGTCTACTTTAACATAAGTTTGTTTTCAAAAACCAGAGGACTTCTGTTATCTGACGGGCCTATAAAGAGCCATTTTCATTTTGACAGTTGGTTTCTGTCCCTTGGGCCCAGGATTCAGTGTTCACCTGGAGAGATAAATGGAATTATTAGTATCTCCACAAACAAAAGGAGGCTAAGCTTCTATGCAGCCTTACTCTTGCCTTAATTTACCTTGGCTCCCGAGGCCAGCTTGAACTGGTTGCAGACACTCAGGAGTCTGCGCATTGACAATGGATCCGAGCAGAAAATGGCAACATCATTAATCTACAGGGAGGCACTGACCTGCAGGCCTCTGTGGCCTGGAATAGTCACCCCTTTTCCTTCTTGATAGACTCGGCAAAAGCTCTGTACAATGCAAAAACAAAGCAGGAGAGAGTTGCAGTCCTGCCTGTCTCTGGATCTGATGGGTAACTTTCTGATTCCCACCCGTTGATTAAGACTGTCAATAACCGTGAAATGCTACAAGAGGCTGGTCATGGCCCACATCAACTGCAGTCTCTGCCTCAATCCCATACAGTTTGCCTACTCACATAACAGATCCACAGAGGATGCTGTATTCCTCACCCTGCACTCATCCCTGGAACGTCTGGACAACAAAAACACCTATGTCAGACTCGCTGATTGACTACAGCTCCGCCTTCATCAACATTATCTGCTCCAGATTGATCTCAAAACTGCATGACCTTGGTCTCAGCTTGACCCTCTGCAATTGAATCCTCAGCTTTCTGACCCATAGGCCGCAATCAGTGAGGATAGGTAACTGCACCTCCTCCACAATAACACTCAACACTGGGGCCCCCCAAGGATGCATCCTCAGCCCCCTACTGTATCACTGTACACCTACAACTATATTGCAAAATTCCAAGAGAACGCCATAAACAAGATCACTGACGACACCACCATAGTGGGACAGATATCTAACAACGACGAGTCAAAATACAGAAGGGAGATAGAGGACTTGGTGATGTGGTGCAATGAAAACAATCTGTCTCTCAATGTTGGCAAACTAAAGAACTGATCATCAACTTCAGAAAGAATGGAGGAGAACATGTCCCCCATCTACATCAATGGAACTGAGGTTGAGAGGGTGAAGAGCATCAAGTTCCTCAGAGAGATGATAACCGATGACCCGTCCTGGACTTCCCAAGTCAATGCAACAGTCAAAAAGGCACAACAATGCCTGTTCTTCCTCAGGAGGCTCAGGAAATTTGGCATGTCCATAAGGTCAGATGCGCTGTTGAAAGCATACTATCTGGGTGCATAACGGCCTGGTATGGCTACTGCTCTGCCCAAGACTGTAAGAAACTACAGAAGGTTGTTTACACAGCCCACACCATCACAGAAGCCAGCCTTCCATCCATGGATTATGTTTATACGGCTCGCTGCTGTAGAAAGCAGCCAACATCATCAAAGATCCATCGCACGCTGGTAATGACCTCCTACTACCTATAACCTACAGTCAGGCAGAAGATACAGAAGCCTGAATACACACACAAGCAGATTCAGGAACAGCTTCTTTCCAGCTGTTGTCAGACTGTTGAATGGTCTGTAGCCTCAAATAATGTAACCTGCAATGTGACCTGTATGCTTCTAAGTCTTTTTGATCTGTTTATCCTTTGCTTGCTGTGATCTGCTTGTACTGCTCGGAAACAAAGCTTTTCACTGTATTTCTGTACGTGACAATAAAAATCAGTCAATACTGAATTTGGTGTAGAGTAGTCAGATCCAATTCTGTAGGTACGCCCATAATGCAGTAGGAGAGTAATTCTAGAATTTCGGCCCAGAAGAACAGAGATTTAGTTCCATAACTTATGGCTGTTGACATTTCAATACATCTTCTAGATGATAGAGGAAATGGGTTTGGGAGATGCTGTCAAAGGAACTTCGGTGAGTAGCTGTAGAGTATCTTGTAGAATGAATGGGTTGATTGCCTTAATAAAACTGATGAAGACAATATACAGCGTTCTCCTATGGCATTTCTCTTGAAGTTACCAGACTCAGTACATCATGTATTTCTTCTAGTTCTGAAACCACACGGTGATATGGGATAGATGTATTTAGCAGGTTCTGCAGTCTGACAAGGCTAACAGAAATAAATACTTTACCCAGTGTGAAAATGCGTCAATAGCTGTTGCAAAGTTGCAATTTCTGCTGATTCTCTTGTTCTTTTACAGGGTCACAATTTTTCCAATAAGCAGAGGATTTATCAGGTACCAATTCCTAAAGAATTAACATATCTATAGTGCCTTTACTCTTCTCTGGAATTTCTCTGGAATTACTTTTCTCTGGAATTGTTGTCAAAGCTCTTTCAAAACGGAGATCTTAACTGGCACTACTAAGAAAGGAATCAAATTTTCAGAACTTGCAAGGAGAATAAAACAAATTTGAAAGCTGGATTCAACATTTTTGTGTAGCTAGAAAGGAACGCACTGTATACAAATTGGACATTCTAATCTTTGGCACTCGTCCATCTATGTGACATGATGGATATGCGACATGTCTATTGGCAATAGATTAGCATTAACATCTGCAGCCTTCCATTTTGTAAGATAATTGTCTGTGCTATGGTGGTCAACCCTGCTAAGCATCATCTAATATGGTTCAGGAGCCCCACTCAGGTATAGCAATTTCTACTGCATTTGCTGTAGAGGATGACAGTGGACTGAAAGGTTTTGGATTCACTGTCCTCTGTTTTCTTGAGACCCTTTTCTCAGCCAACTAACTTTTTGTTTCTGCTGACCTGTTCCAATGCTTTTTCATATAGTCAACTTCCAGACATCACAGCCTACTGGTTACAATCTCCCAGTGTTTGCAGCATCCTCCATTTTCCTATCTCACTTACTGGTGTCGTGGTAGACATGACAAGGAGGCTGTGAACCAGTGGCCCGAAAGACTTTGGGTATCTGGTTGTCATCCATCCAGTGAACTGGGGAGGCAATGGCCTGGAGGTATTATCATCAGATTATTAATCCAGAGACTCCAGTAATATTCTGGGGACCCTGGTTTAAATTCTGCTGTAGCTGATGATGAAATTTGAATTCAATAAAATATCTGGAACTAAGAGTCTAGTGATAACCTGTCAATTGTCAAGAAAAACCCATATGGTTTACTTTAGGGAAGAAAACTGTAGTTCTTACCTGGTCTGGCCTACATGCGACTTCTGACCCACAGCAATATGGTTTATACTTAACTGCCCCCTGGACAATTAGAGATATGTCAGGCGAGTGATGTCCACATCCCATGAATGAATAAAAAAAACTGGCTGAGCCAATGCAGACATTATTGGATGAGAAATGAATGTATGCTGAAAGGCATGCTCCAAGTTGCTGCCATCTACTCTTAATCCCAATTTGGTTTCAAAACAGGTAGCTCTACATTCAGCACGATGTTCTCAAATGAACAGCTACAAGACAAGTGAACAAAGGAAATTATGATATATTGTCTTAATTGATCTCATCAAGGCATTCGACCTTGTAAGCAGAGACTGTATATTAAGCTGCTGGAGGAAATTGGCTGCCATTGAAGTTGGTCTATGTGATCTATACTTGTGACAATATGATGGGAAAGGTCAG